GACCTTCTGTAAATAAGCATCTATTGGAGTTTTGGCAATGGCCAGATCCTCCACTCAAGCCCGAGTGTGTATGATTAGGTTAGTTCTTTTGTTTATATACATTTATTTTATTTTATTGTATTTATTTTTATTTTATTTTATTGTATTTATTTTTATTTTATTTTATTGTATTTATTATTATTAAGTTTCTGTATTATTATTATTATTTTATTTATTTATTGTAAATAGAGTGTGAGTGTGTTCTCTGAACACTATTACAAATGTCCTTGATGTGACAGAATGTGATATTTCTAAATAAACAAATATAATCCATCAGGTAAAAAAAAAAAAGAACTAAGGCGTTTTCAGATTTAATTGATCACTTTCATGAGGTACTGAAAACTCAAGAATACCCTCTTGCTTTCCACTTAATTCGTAAGATAATTTGACTACCAAATTGAGAAAAAGGGTACTCTATAAAATTATTTGCCACTACAATTATTAGGTCAGGCCACTCATTTTTTTATGAAATTATCTCACTAATCAATTAGAAAACAAATGAGTGTTATTTTTTTATTGTTTTAATTTTTCCACCCACAGTTGTCACAAGTTCCGACAATCAGCGAGTGTGTTGTAAAGATGTAGAAGATTAGAATAAGTCTTGGAATATGTTTAAGAGAGAGGAGTCCAGCGGCATCCTTCCTGTTTTGATTTTAATATTTTTAGTTAGTGAAGGAGATCCCTCATCCAGCTTCTTTTGAGTCAGTGAGTTGGTATGTTCGTGTAAGTTACTGTGAAATTTTTTGTAGTTTATTGGTATGTGGTCGTTAACTGTTGACATCTAACTTTATGTGAAGTAATGTTATTGACGTACTACGAAGCCTTGGTGATAGTCCTGAAAGTTTTTGATTGAAAAGTCTGTAGTTTACGTTGCGAGTCTTTTTGGCTGTGAAGCGTGGGTCCAAATAGGCTTAAGTAGGTAAGTATATGTATTAAGTTTTAATTTGGAATGCCTTGAAAAGAGTGAGTATAATACACTTAGGTTTAGTGGTTTTGTTTTGTTCTTGATGTGTGGGCCCCATGTCATTCTTCTGTCAAATGTAAGTCCAAGATATTGAACTTTGTCTGTCTGAGGAATTTGGACATTGTCAAGGGCGAGTTTTTATTACCTCACTTTAGGCAATAGGCAAAGTTTACTTCGGAATGAAAACGCCCCATTTTCGAGAATTTTCGTAAATAAGTATTGTAGGTTACGATGAGATGAAGCTATTCACGAAGTTTCAGGCAGATTAATAATTTGATAAAAAGGGGTCTGTAGCACGGACTATGGTTACATAAAATTAATATAGAAATGAGAAAAGTATTAGGGAACTATATTTTTTTACTGATTTATAAGTATTTTTTTAGAAAATGTTTTTTTAGTATTTTACCATTACTTCAAATTATATATTTCTCAGAACATTCTGTTTGATGGTTTGAATAATAATTTAATTATTTATAGGTGATATATAGTCATGACGCAGTCCTTTTTAAGGTTTTTTATTAATGCCGACGTTTGATCCTAAACATGTGGGTTATCAGTAAGGCTTATTTCGAGCACTGAAGGTATTCAAGTAATGTGAATGAGTGCTCTAAAAACGCCCTGATGATGACCCACATTTTTGGGTTTAAGCGTCGGCACCAATGAAAAAACCTTAAAAATGACTGCGTTACTATTTATCACCTATAATATGTTGAACAGTCGACTAACTTCCTTCATTAATTGTCTATAGAGATCACCTTAAGAACTTTTAATTATAAAAAATGTTAGCGAAGTTACAGTTTTGTGTTGTTTTTGTATCTAAAGCTGTAAGCAAAATCATGTCATCAGTAAACATTTATAGATTTTTTTTTAAAGTTAACTATATTATTTAATACCATAAAGAAGCAGTTTTCTCTTAATATACTGAACATTGGTAGTTCATTTTTATTATAAAATCAGTTCAAAAATATCTTAATTTTTTTCACACGCGAATGATATACCTCGTCTCCTTACTTAATTCATTATAATAAATTATGTGTTATATCATAATATACATTAGAATGTATTAAGTAACAAAACTATTGTCTTTAAACCAACAATAATTGGCCACATATGATACTCTCATAACCTAGTAAAATCAGTTCTATTATTTGCTTAGTTTGTTAGCAGTTTCCGTGTTACTATTGGAACTGAATATATTAAGACTAATCTCAACACGGTTTCACCATTCTTGAAGGTCGAAGAGTTAACGGAATAATCTAATTATAGATATTAGTTAATTAATATTAATTGCTCGATAAGTTGAAGTGTGGTGTCATGTTCAATGTTGTTAGATACGACAAGTAAATAAGGCACATAAAACTAAAAAATAGAAAAAGTATTGTAACCTTATCTATTATAATAATTAACTTGTTTAACATTAATTTATACTTTGAAGCAAATGTGTACATATTTAGGTACGTCTATGTCCATAAAAGAGTATGGACATAGACTCTTATCGCTCAAATCGCTCAAAAATATTTTAAACTAGGGTCACTTGATATTGCATCACACAATGATAAGTAATACATTTTTTTTTTTATTTCTTAATGACATTTACAACTGTATTACATAAATACATCAAGTAAATTTGGACATAATAGATATAATGACATGAATACACTTGCTGATTAACTACCCAATGGTAGCGCTCTAATGATATGACTACATTAGATCAGGGGGCCATCTTCTTTTCAGACGCCTCGGAGGGTTTTCAGGAATTGAAGAGGAAGCAAGGTTAGAAACGAGAGGGTTGGGGTGACTCTGAAGTTTATTATGGAAGGATAGGTATCTGGATTGGACCAGATCTGAAAGTAATAAATTTTAATTGTATACATTCTGTTGACAAATGAACTGTCTATGCAAATTGAAAGGTTAACAAATACGAATAAAATTAACAATACTACACAAAATCCCAATGGGTAAAAACATTACTTGTAACATTAGAATCTATTGAGAGTTCAGTCCTTTGTAAAGAAGTACTACCAACTTTTCCCCCCTTAATTTATTAATTATTTGAGGGTACTCACTTTATTGAGGCTGAGTGTGCCCATCTCCAGGGCTGATCCTTGAATTGTCAAAAGAATAAATAATTTTATGTCACAGTGCCTTACTCATTGAGCTACCTGCATCCCAAAAGACATTACACCTCCTTTATTTTTCCAATAATTAAACAGCTTTGTAATTACGCCTTAAAAAATCATATTTAAAATTTAGTAAAGATTGGAGTCCGCGAAGGAAGTTACAATACTCTTGTAGGAAATATTAACAGGTTATAGCTTTTAAACTAATAAATTAAAACAAAATAATAAAAACAGTAATACCGTTCCTGAATAAACTGGCTTTTCAATTGTATTTAGTTACTTAATAGCTAATGAAAAATCGTCCTTTAGTCAGAAGTATAATAAGAAAATGAACCATATATTTGAGAGTTATACTTTTTTACATAAGAAAATTGAAAATGAAAAGAAAAAAACTAATTATAACATCAGCTCTGGAAAATGAGGAAAATTCTTGAATATGGCCAGCCGCGTCTTTTCTCTCCAAAAAAAAGAAATTTTAAAAATATTTAAAACTTTATCCCTCAAGATTTTTTTTCTTCATTTACATACTATTTTATTCTGTTTACGCTCATATGCTATCCTTGTTTTTTTATTTTGTTTTAACTCCCATTTAATGCTTTCATTAACAACCAACCAAACCAGAATATTTTTCTGAACATGATCTTTATTTCTGTTTTCCTCCTTGATCCTTTTTTTCAATATCATTTTAGCAATTACCCAGCTATATCTATAAAAAACTCAATATTCTGTATTAAAATATTAATAAATAATTTTGTCATCAAATTACATAAATATAGCCCCACATATGTTTTAAAACAATTACCTAAAACCATGGTTTGAAATCAATTTTTTTTTTTCACAACATCGTGCCAGATTTATAAATAAAAATTTAAATCGATCTATGATGTTATTGATTCGATTAAAAATAATGATCACTCACTGAGGGATACGGTTTTAGATAAATAATAATAAATAAATTGATAAAAAACTTTTAATCAGAAAATAAAATAATCTTTTACATACAAATTATTTTTTTTATTTTTTATTTTTTTTTCCATTAAATTTGCCACAGCGTTGTTACGCATCAAGCAAATGTGTTGGAGTTTATTGTATTCGTGAAAAATTCTTAACTTGTCAGCTGAAGATCTCTAGGCCACTGCCTTTTTTGTCGTCGTTGAGGCTCACCAGGTAATACCTGGAAGATAGAGAAAGAACGAGTGGATTCGAATGATTGAGTGTAGAAGAATGAAATGTTGTGTATGTAGGATTTTACTTTTGGTATTTTCATGTCTGTGTGTATACTGTGATTTGGAATAAACCAAGGAGCATTGACGATTTTGCGAAGTATTTTGGATTGTGTGGTTTGAATTTTGTTTATGTTTGTGTTTTGCTGAACCCCGATGTTCTGCTCCGTATGTCCAAATAGGTCTTAGTATAGTGGTATAGATTAGTCGCTTGTTCAGTAAGTTGAGTGGAGATCTGTAGTCCAAAAGATGTGACAGTTGTTTGTATCGTCTGGTCAGTTCTTGTTTTTTTATTTTAGTGTGAATGTTCCAGGTGACTTTTTTGACCAAGTATAGTCCAAGATACCATACATGTGTTTTAGAGAGAACTGGCTTATTGTCGATTGTCACAGCAGGACACGAGATCTTCTTCAGGGAGAAGCTAACATTTAACAAACAAATTAAATTAAATATTAATAAGTATGTATACGTTCTTATGTACAAATGTTTTAATATTATATTTCTGAAATAACTTTAATTGTGCACGCGGTAGCAAATGCTTTATTTGGTTCCAATAGTTATTAATTTGTTTTGTGAATGTTTTACCCGCCATTTTTACTCTACTTTACATACCCTAAACTTAGCTCACTATCAGATTGATCATTTTTTCTTACCATGACGCCAACCTCGCACGAAGAAGCTCCTCTGACCTCTTTCCGATGCAGGAGTTGCTACGAGCCGGCTGGAGCTGAATATGAAATGCCAGTAAAGCGGGTCGATCAAAAAGCAGTAGATGGGAAGATATTTCTCAACCTGCGGTCGGCCCTGTGATTGCTGTTAGCGGGATCTCTGATAGCTTGCTCCTTCGGTGGGAAATATCCCGCCCATTGGAAAATATAGTTTTGTGGCCTCCTGGAAATTATGTCATCACTTTCTATAGATCCGTGGAAAATCCTTCGTGTCGATCTCGTACAAAAAGCCGCATTTCTAAAATCATCCGCCGTTTCCTTATTGGAGTGTGACATTTTTTGTGTTGAAATCCGAATTATTTTTTAGCTTTAAATGTACAATTTGAAATTTTTAAAAGTTGATCAAACTAATACCCATTTTGTACAACATTACCCTCGTTTTAATCCTCAACTGCCTGGTCTAATATTTTTTTATAGCTGAGAGGGAGATCTTTGGAATGGTAGACAATGTTCATATTACTTAAAATAAGTTACACTTTTGTAATTCAAATTTAAACCTTCTGCTAAAAGTACCCTTTTAAGGCCTGCTTAATGGATTTTATACGTTTTAAGAAAATTTTAAATAAAGTTTATGATATAATATAATTTTTTTCTATTTGTGAGTTTCTTTAATATAAAGTTTTCCTCAACCAAACTCCTTCTTTAGTAAGTCTCTTCATCTCTGTCGATCCATCGCATCCTCCTCCGACAGTCTCCTTCCAGCCATACTCTCCACCACTCTATCTTTCCATCTAACTGGGGGTCTTCCTCTCCTTCTTCTATCCTTTGCCTTTCAATCCATAATTATCTTGGCTTTCCTATCGTTTGACATGGCCGTACCACTGAGTGTCCTTTCTCTCATGAACTCTAGTGTATTTTTTTAAATTTCCAATCTCTTCCTTGTAGTGGCGTTTTTTACCCTTTTGATCCTTGATATCCTAGCAACTGTTCTCCAAAATTCCATTTCAACTGAAATTAATTTCTTTATCTTGGTCATACTGAGGTGTCATCTCTTCGAACCAACAATTTTAAAAATCAATTATAAAAAGTTCCTTTTTTTTTCTTAAAAAGTATTGTATACATTTACCAATAATAAGCTGTACATTGAACAATTACCTGTAAGAATCTCAAAGTACACCCAGATACTTTGATTATTTTGTACAGGAAATAAATTAAAAAATAATTGATTTTTTTATTCCGATATACCTGTAACATCGACGTTTGATAAATCTTTTTGAACATCAATATATCGATTTATCATCACATGACATGATTCGCGGGGTTTTTGGTGGTCTTTAAGTGGCCCATGGGCCAAAACGTTTGGAGACCCTTAAACTGGAGCATAGACAGCGGAGTGAGTTTCTATAACTAAAAATAGTTCTATAACTCGAACACGATTAGTTGGCAGCCTAGGGCTCAACGTGTGAAGTACCGATTGTAATTTAAAACTTACATTATGTTTTTTTCTATTACCCTCCAATCTACGGAATATTAACAAATATATACATAAAGTTACTTCGGGATCATCATTCAATAAATGTATCATTCTAAATATTTTATAAGTGATACCATATATTTTGGGAAAAACAGAGTTTCAATTTCGTGCCACATGAGTTCGCCCTCGGGTTGGCTATTAATCGTGTTGAAACTATAGCTATATTAATTTGAACAGACTGTAATTATATTGACTTCAGTCCATCAGTCCATCAATCCCAGCAAATAAATAATGACCGTCGATTTTCAGAGTGTCGTATCTAAGGCGCAAGATAATCAACACTTCTGCTGGTCGCTACCACTCACTTCACTATCACTGGAGATCTCTTATCAGATATCTCTCCTATCAGATAGGCTGGGAGATTAGGAGGGTGTGAGTGGATATAGCGGATAATCTAAACATGATGTGAACTGCTATATATTTATTTAGTTTTATGTTAATAAAATAAATGACGGATTTAATAAAATCAATATAAAACATTGAATGTTTAAGTAACTTTTCTTAAGGGCTTATTCGAGATGGAATAACAATTCCTCAGACGGTTCTATCCTTAAGTACTTGTTTTGCTAAAAAATGTATGAATCAACTCAAACATGAGAGAGAGAACGGAATTATTTATTTATTGAGCAATATGGCTTAAATGCGTCTCTACATTACTAATAATCTACATTTTTGGTACATGTTTAAATTTTTTTATTATATATTTATTCAGAAATATAATAATCTGTAACTTGGAAAATAATTATCCTGAGATATGAACACATTCACTCCATATATATAGAAAACATAAAATAAACAAAAGTAAAATAATAATCAAAAACTATATATAATAAAAAATAAAATAACTTATAGATAAGTAAATTAAAAACATAAAAATACAGTCGTATATTTATACAATCAGGCAGGAAATCCCAAGCCAGGCTTGTTTCTACAACTATAAAAGGAAAAGCAGGACTCCAAGAGATCCCTGCGCAACTCTGTCAACCGGGTCACTGGTGCTTAAGCCAGAGCGCGAGCGAGAGCGCTTTAGCCATATACACTCATGTCTTGAGTGAAGAATCTGGCTATTGCTAGAACTCAAAGATAGTTAAGACGTATTACACAAAAGGTCTCTGGACCACTGCCGCTTCAGTATATGTCAGGTGATGGCGCAACGGAACATTGATCGTACATTGAATTAGTGCAGATCTGCTCAGTGTAGTATTAAAATATATAGTAAAAATATCAATACTTTAATTTTTGTCGATATATTTTTGTTGGCACACTGCCGAAAAAAACTGTTTCGGCCTACTTACCTGAATATTACATGCACGAAGGTAAAACATTTTTTGTTTTCAAAATCGAAAATTACCACTCATGTTTTTTACTTTTACGTATAAAGATGAATAGTCCTTGCAACAGATCCCTTTTATTGATTTATCCCCCTTGAGTTTCTATGCTTTAGTTCACATTACCTTTAATAATCTATTTAGAACTTATGATTTTCTTAAATATATTTTATAGATGAGGAAGTAGCATTTAATGCAAATATCTTGTAACATTATTACAAAGAAAATATTACTACGTTATTTGACCCTACATTTTTTTTTCCTATTATAGTTGTACAATAATTGTGTATGTATACAGCCAAATTGCTTTTATGATATTTTTCCTAAAATATGAAAATCTTTACACCAATCGAATTAATGATAAATCACCTGTTCTAAATCTTTTTAAAATGTTTAAAATCATATACTGAAGAATTTCTATATTTATTTTTACTTCAGTGTAATTCCCAACTCGTCAGGTTTTCATTTTATCACTTCAATTTTTTTTTTCTATTGCGCAACGTCTGCTCACTGAACCCGTTATTATTATGGCTCGTGAACCGATAATCTCTGGTAATATTATTATTTATATGGAACAGTTTATCTCATTTGCTTACGATGGTAATAAATGTCCAAGAAAGTAGTTAGAGAGATGCAGTATCAAATAGCGGGTTCAAAGGTCAAATCGTATTTTTGTCTGAGTGGATATGACATCAGCTTCATTATTAACGAGTCCATTGGAACAGGCGGATTATTTGTTATTTAAAACAAAACTGTTATTTGTTAAACCGGTCACATTAAATGTAATTTACTCGGTTCATTTTATGATTTGTTATAACAGCACTATTAGTACCGGAGCCCGTGGCAAAAAATGTGTCATATTTCATACTAAGCTTTGACCTAATAAATTGAACATATCCGCAGGAATTATGAGAAAAATGCACTATCTGCTAGCATACGACCGTTGGAATAGAAAATGGTGGCCATGTGAAGATATATAGAGACCCTACATAGGTTGTAAGCGTATATATATATTGAGAGGGATTATAGATATATAAACCTACCAATCCTTTCAGTGCATATTATTTACAGTTTTAAGACATGAAATAATAGTCAATATACCCGTGGATATCAAGTTGAAAAATTGAATTTACGATTCCAAAAGATTACTATTTTCGGTTTTTCGCTCATATCAATGAAACTATGCCTTATATCTATAATAATGTCATATGTGAAATTAAAGCTGACAAAATTTTCAATAGAAATGCTCATATCAGTTTTTTCGCTGTATTCTATAGTTTCTGTGACATCCGTCCTCGTAATTCATTAATTTCGAAAAAAAAAAAATTAACTTACCAAGGAAGAATTTTGTGTGGTTACTGACCTAGACTGTTCTGAAACGAATCGAAATAAACTCTGTGGTTATTTCTATTTGTATATCATCATACTAAAATAATCTTTCTTTTATTCGAATGGTAACTTTTATTTCTCCATTATATAGATGTATATATTTTATGTAGGTAAATTTATTTAATTATGTAACTAAATTTAACTGATTATAATTATTTGTAGAAATAATGAAGCAAGTTTATTAATTCTGATAACTTTTATTTAATTACACTTTAAGTTGACTGTTATCAGTCACTTTGATATAAGGAAAGAAAAATATATACAATGTATAGATAAATAAATAAAACTTAATTTACTTATTTTTGAAGTCAGCCGGCTGGAATTGACTAATTGAAGTGCGAAAAGAGAGGCGTAAAGGGAAAAAATAGTGTCGAAAACCAAATGATAACGAATTTTATTGAAGATATAGATTAAAATATTTTACAAAACTAAAAATCGGATTCTGTAAACGACGGACATGTTCAGTATTTAATCCTCTTTATAATGAGCTATTATTTATAATTTATGTTTGATATTATTAATCTCACTTTGTTGATGTTTTCACTTCTATCGTTTGGTCTAAAGCTTACATCTTAGTTTTTTTTATTAAGTATGAAACTTTATTTACTTATTTGTTTTATTTATGGAACTTAATTTACATTCCATGACCTACTGAATTAGCGGTAAGAATTATTTATGGTATTATAACCGTCTCCTTGCTGTTCTCATGTATAGTAAACCTCTTGTGAACCCACATATTAATTTCTTACATATATTGTATACACATGTCTTTGCTGTCTATATTTCTTTTTTATAATAGCCATACATTTACAGCTGGTTATCTGCAAAACTATA